GCGCGTCTAAAAGTGAAGTAGAATAATAATCGCAATAAGCGATTTCATGTTAATTGCGATTAATCGTGCAGCCCTGAAATTCAACTATTCTATTTCCAAGAAATGTTTGACTGCCTGACATGCTTTTATTATACAAATTCATCCAACTACGTAACTATGTCTAAGGTCTCTGGCGCTGATGGCGGTTCTGACGGTGACGGGCACAGGGTTTGGAGCGTATATAATGGCCATGGCAGCACTAAGCCCTTGCCCTCTGCTGATCGATCACGACCTCGGAGCAGCACTCATTGTAAGGTTCTCATACACACATATGCTTTCCATTAGTGGTAGTTGTTCCATGTTTTGCAAGCATTCGTAAATGTGACTGTAAAGTAAATGTACTGGCACTGGCATTTACCTTGTTTAAAGTAACACTATGTAGTTTTTCAACCTTCATAATATATTTCCAAGACCCTTGTGATGGCACTTCGACTTAAAATAAGTTAAATGACACGTCTGCCATAGCCTGACGTGGTCTGTATCGCTTTTACTGGCACTATGTAACTTCGGGTTTCGGGTAGGAACCCGTGCACAAAAAGAACTACAAAATTCGACTGCTTTACGGCATACGTCACTTCCCCCACCACTTCCTCAAATTGTCTATGGCCATTGCAGACATCCCAAGTCTCCCGGGAGTCTCCTGCGTCTCCCTGATGCCCACAAATTAGTTCAGATCTGCCGGAATCTAGAGCGCGCATGCGAGACAAAACATACTGCGCGCATAACATACGAGCACGGCTGAGAGAGAGAGAGCGAGAGACCTTGCGAGTGTGCCTCACGAAAGCTAGTCAACCCGCCACCAGCCGCCCCCAGCCGCCCCCCCGTCAACAATACAGTCACCAAGATATACCTCCCTGAAATGACTTCTTGCAGGTTGGGATGTCTGCCATTGTTGATTCCAAAGCCAGTGCTGGATAAACAGCGAGCGTGCGCGTGCGACAGTCGGCTGCGGAAGGCTCATGTCAGAGGAAAAATCACATGGTGTTGCTTTAAATGAGTTTAAAAGGGCATCTAATTGTATGTTAGAACTCTTACAACATTTTTCATCATATACACTACAGTGCACAGTGCTACATATTTCATCACAAATATAATGTGAGGGCAGAGGCGGCGCCAGGGGGGGTCTTGGGGGGTCTCAAGACCCTCCCAAAAAATGCTTTGACCCCCCATTTGACCCCCCACCCCCTTCCTGATTAAAAAAATATATATCCGGGATAAATATTTAAAAATGTTTATCTTCAAACTACGCAGAACAATAATAATTAATAATTTATTCGACGTACAAAATATATAAACATAAGAATCACGTTCCCTCTAAGCTGCGCGCGTGCGCGGTCGTGCACTTCTGATGCCGCGGCCGCGCAGAAAAGAATAATATGCCACGCAGAGGACTGACGCGAAATGTGTGGGGAAATCCATTTGATTGTATGTGAGAAATAATTGCAGTGCTCAAACTGGTGAGTGCAGTTAACAGGTTTCAAAGAAAGAGAATGATGTGAGCGCGTGTGATTGGCAGTGAGTCGTGTGTGCGGACCAAATAGCTCAATACGAGAGGCGACGAGAAACGCAAAGACATGTGAAATAAAATCACAATATCATGTTTTAAAGAAGAGTGGTTTGATTAAAGTGGTGGAAATAACGGATGATGGACACAGAACGGTAACAATTACAGACACCCACCCGCGTGCAAACTCAAAATACATCATTAGTTTACATAGATTTAAATAGTTTCAGGCATGGTTAGATTAGGCTACTATAAAAGAGTTCACATATTTACTTTTCTTGAAAATATTTAGCCATTAGATCTAGCTATTTACAGTAAATGCTTCAGTTTTTTTTCATATTATAATAATATTATATGAAAACAAATTGAAGCATTTAAACTATCACTTCAAATACTTCAATTCATTTTTTTTTATATTATATTATATTGGGCATATATTGTATTATATTATAAGCCTAAATAAAGAATCTCACAAGGGTATTGTTTAGGGCTCATTGCCATTAAAAAGTTTGAAACCCCCTGCTAAAGAAAATATAGGCTAGGAAATTCATAAGCTAAAAACAATCATTTAACTTTGATGGTTTAATGCTGCCTGTACAATTAATTGACTTTACAAAAACACTTTATGGTTTTCCTAAACCATCTCAGTGTAACAGCTTAATTTTCTTTTATAATATATTATATTATTGTAAAGAATTGAACTGTCCTGCAGAAGATTTTGTAAATAATTTTTCATAGGATTTCTTAGTAAAGACTGGAAACAGAGGACACAGAGGAATTGGAGGATGAGGAGGATACTATTTTGTAAATATGTTTTCTGTCATGGGTGTGGCTATGGCAATTAAAGTTCGAGCATATTGTTTGCAAACTGCAATTGATTAATTAATTAAAAACAAAAAACCGTCGGTGTGTGAATGGGTGAATGTGAGGCAATATGTAAAGCGCTTTGGTGGCCATTGGGTCTGTGAAAGCGCTATATAAATGCAGTCCATTTACCATTTACCATTTGTTAAAGGTGCTCTAAGCGATGTCATGTGTTTTTTAGGCCAAAACATTTTTTGTCACATACAGCAAACATCTCCTCACTATCCGCTGGCTGCCTGTCCCCTGAACACACTGTAAAGAAACGCGATCTCTGTAGACAGCCCATGCTTCACAAACAGCACCAAAAACAAACTGCAGCGACCCGCTCCCCAAAACATAACAAACTGTTCCAGCCAATCACCGACAAGAAGGGTTTGGGGGGTTAGTGTGCGGATGAGGAGGAGGGAGGGTCTAGCTAGCCTCCGTTTTGTTTGACAATAGTTCGAACGTCAACAAGAAGTGACGTCACCCAGGATCGCTTAGAGAACCTTTAAGTAGCAGCAATATGCAGTTATTAGCCGTGTCCACTGTATTTTTTGTTGGTTTTCATGAGACCCCCCTTGAAATGACCAGGACCCCCCATTGCCCCCCCAATCAAAATTGTCTGGAGCCGCCACTGTGTGAGGGCAACAGCATCACATAATCTTTGTTTTCTCTCTCTTGATCTTTAGGTCATAGCCTGGGTCATATTTGTCCTCACTCTGTCCTATGTGAAGGTGATTATTGGAGTGATCCTGAGAGATGAAGGCCACAGCGCCCTCGTGTGGTGTGGAGCTGTGGTGCAGCTGGGCTCTATGTTAGGTGCCCTGTCAATGTTCCCTTTGGTTAGTGTTTATGGACTTTTCCAGTCAGGAGATCCCTGTAATACCAAGTGTCCTCAATAAAGCAAGCTTTATTCTGTTGGATTCAGAGTAAAGTGAATCAATGCCACACAAGGCTGAATGATACACAAATGTTTGACCACACACATTTTTCGATTAGGCTATACTTTTTTTATATATATATATATACACAAATCCCAGCTACTGTATTGTTCCAACAACTATCTTTCCTTTTAGTTGTCATTTTAGTTCATAGTACTGTTACATCATGACAAAACAAGCTTCATAATCTGCTGTAATATCTGGCACACCCTTACAGTTACAGTGTAACTTGTCAATTCCTGCCTTTTTGTTATTTAAATGTTATACTTGATAATATAGTATTTTGAATATCTCATTGAAGTCTGAGGGCATGTTTTTTTTTAAGAATTTGAGAATATTTATGATTTTAAGACATTATGCTTAAATGAGGCCTTGACAATCCTTATTTTTTTTTCTTTTTCTTTTTTTACAAGACTAGTTTAGGAAAAAATAAATCTTTGTTCTCTAAGAATTATGTAAATTGTGTTGTGGTTATTTCTGTGAAATATTTTATATTTGTTTAACTGATATACATAAGTCTGTTACATTATTAAAACTTAAATCATAGAAAACCATCATGTAATCAACTTATCTGGTATATTTTATTACAGAGGTTCTCAAACTGGTAAACCTAATAGTATGTGAAATTTTGATGGGCATGTATGAAAATATGTATTATTTTCAAGGAAAAGTGAGCCTAAATACATGTACCATATCAGCAAATGTGACATGAATTTCCATTTCCATAAATCATCTCTTGATAGCTCTTATTATTTTACATTTTCTCCAAAAGAAGCTTTATATAGACTGCAAAAAGACTAGATTTAGATCAAGCCAATAGTGATAATGGCCCATAAACACTCCCAAAGTTGTAAAGAGCAAGACAGTTTAAATCTTAGCCTTCCTTCTCTGACAACATGCATTAGTTAAATGTTGGACAAAAACACTCACAAACAAAAAACAGCTGGCTATATATGTTATTTTATTATTTATATGGGCTATGTTATTATAATTAAATTGTTATTATATGATAATTTGTAAGAAAAAGAAAAGAATGCCACTTTATTTAAGAACACCACACCATCTATTTTCTGAACTACTAATGCAAAACGTCTGATCGTGCTTGTAATAGAAAACCTGTCATTGAGTTTTCATTAGGGCCTAAATGTTTTCATCTTTAGAACTACTATTATAGCACACATTAGTTGTTACATGAGAACATCTAGTTTTTTTCTATGCCTTATTGTATGAAATAACTAGACTAGGCGTAAATTAATAATTAGGCTATCCTATTTTGCGGAGGTGTTTTCAATTTGGATTAAAATACTTGAAATGGGGTGGAGAAGAAGAAGGAGCTGATGGTGGTTATTGATTTGTAAAATAAATTCGTGTTAAATTGATTTTCATGTTTACTGTTGGCGTTACAACAAGCCTACTGTTACCTCTGTTGGTTGTAACATCATCATGTGTTAAAACTAAAAATTATCGCCTAATATTACGTACTTGACTACTAGTGTTGGCCTATATATATATATATATATATATATATATATATATATATATATATATATATATATATAACAAGTCTATACTTTTAGAAACACATTTTTTTGTTCACGAACCAAACATACCTGCCCTTACCAAGATGGCCGCATTTCTGGGTCGTAAATTTCACTGGCTGACACTGGCGCAACTTCCGTTCTCAACTCCTCCTTTGTCTGAGCCCGATCGGTCCTCCGCCTAGTTATTTATTTATTTCATTTTCGTTTGTGGGGTATATTTTTATATATCCTTATCTCTCGGTTATTGAATGACATTCGATTCCGACACATATATGCCTAAAAGCAAAGCCCCCAAAATGGATGACCTGGACTACAGTAAGTAAAGCTGGTTTAGCGTTGTGTTTAGTGCCGCATCACGTACTGTTGTATATGAGCTTGGGAAATGCTTCATGTAGAAGGATGTTTTTGCTATTTTAAAGGGTTTAAACCAAATGTCATTATTTTGTTGTCACATCTAGCATCTCTCCAGCTTTAGTACATCATTAATCTGCCCATCTCCAGTCACTGTTCTGGATCCATTCATGTTCGGCCTCCTTCAGTTGTTTACATCTGTATCGTGTCTCTTTGCTTTTATCAGAGGCTGAATAATTTCATGTCAACTCTGTGTATTTCATAAGTGTCGTGCCGACATGATGTCATAGTTCATCAGCTGGTCATCATCATACATCTTTTGGGTGGCGTTATTGGATTTTTAACAGTGTTTCTGTTGGTTTTAAGGAGAAATTCTTAAGCACACACAGATTTGTCATAATTAAAAAATTTAATTATGAACTTAATATAGGCACACAGAGTGAAATGCTTGTCATCATCATCAGTCTGTTGCACATTTAATTCTTCACTGGAAGATGGGCTGGTTAGACATAAAAGTCTGAGACCACATTGAAAACCTAGGATTTAAACAACAAAGAAACCTTATGATGAAGCCATAAATTATTTGTAACTAACCAGATGTACAGTAGTGGCCAAAAGTGATATTTGTTTTAGTAAGTAGATAGATGTCAAGACAAGTCATCTAAATTTATATAGCGCTTTTACAATACAGATTGTTTCAAAGCAGCTTTACAGTGATAACAGCAAAATAATGCAAAAATGATTGTTTTGGCTGTACAGCAACTTTAGAAGAAAGTCATTGTCCAGTTTAAGTTCAGTGGTGATTAATTTCCATTGTAGAAATCATTACTAGTTCTTAATTTAGTTAATTTAGCCGCTCTGGACAAAAAACAGTGAGGTCATTGTCCAGCTGAGTTCAGTTCTCATATAATGGTGTCAATGCAGGCAGATCAATAATATTGATGAATATTAAATGTCCCCGACTAAGCAAGCCATAGGCAACAGTGGCAAGGAACCCAAACACCATCAGTGACAGAATGGAGAAGAAGAAAAAAACCTTGGGAGAAACCAGGCTCAGGCGGGGGGCCTATGACCGAACAGTGTATGATTATGATTCAGGCAGCATTACAGCTCAGAAGTCAGATTGGAATCTGAACATTCATAATATTTAATCCAGTTCCTTCTGGGTGAAGATCGGAGTCATCACGCCGGTATGGAGACGGTCACGGTCATGTGACTCTTTGCAGTCAGTCAGATGCTCTTCTGTTGAAGCTCAAGATGCTCTTAGATCATCTCAGATCATGCTGGAGAACATGATCATCAGCTTCACTTCATGTAGATCCAGTCCTGCTGAGAGACACCCCCCAAATATTGAGACCTTCTCAGAATCAACTTTCTTTTTTTTTTTTTATCGGAATTTTTTTTTATGTATCCATGTACAAATTTAGGATTTGCGAACGAAAAAAAAAAAAGAATATAGGTACAAATGGCAGGTTTTAGAAAATTATTCTTTTTTGGGGGGTGAAAGGTCTGATGGGGTTCATAATTTTGGATTTACAAAATAAAATCTAACATCAAATTGTCATGCTGATAAAGTCAGTTTTGTAATGGGAAAATGTATTAAAATAGAAGCATTTAGACCCTATTGTGAAGCAGAAGCTAATAGTGAGTTTTTAAGTGATTCATTTGAGGGTTTTGAGCTGAAGATTGTGCAAATGTGTTCCTCAGAGCACCAGAGTATGTGTCTCTGCCTGCAGGCGTTGCTTTCTGAGCTTCTGCGTGTCTGGCTCAGTTTTGTCCTGGCTTGCTCTCTCTAAAGCTTCCAAACACCCACCGGTGTCGCAAGAGTCGTCTGTCAGTCCACAGAGAATCTGAACGTAAACTTGCGCATGTGTCCCGAATCCCCATCACGTTTCCATCTCGCTTCATAAAGTGAATGATATTAGACACAGGCCAGTCAGCAAACGGGGGGTTCGTGTTAAAGACTAGGCCTGGGTGGAGTGAACGGTCTTTTCAGTTCCTTTCCTATCCAAGTCCCGGTGACCTCATTTCTTTCTTTCTCTTCGCAGTCCCAGCGGACCTGAGCCCAGAGGAGCGCTCCGAGCTGGAGGAGATCCGGCGCAGGAAAGGAGCGCTGATTCTCGAGATCCAGAGACTGAAAGAGGAGCTGAGAGAAGCCATTATAGAGGTGGAGGGGCTGGAGACCAGCACCGAGGGCAGGTTAGTTGACATTTACATTTATTCATAATTAGCAGACGCTTTTATCCAAAGCGACTTACAAATGAGAACAATAGAAGCGGTTAAACTAACAATAGGACATCAATATGCAAGTGCTAGCCTATGACCCTTCCCAGTTTAATCTAACGCAGTACTTGTATTTTTTTTTATAAATAGATATATAATAGAATAGAAGAGAATTTGTTAGTATTTATGGATCAAGTGTTGCTGAAAAAGATGCAGGTTTAGTCTCAGGTTTATTCCTGATATATTGTTGGGATTTCATGCGAAAATGGTTGGTATATATTTTTGTTCTCTCTAATTTGCCTTCTCTGATAGATAACACTCAATAAATACACACACACACACATTATCTCTGTGTGAACAGTGCAGTCATTGACATGAACTTGAACTCTCTTCATGCTGTGTGTTCAGGTTCATTGAACACTGTAAAGTAAGGTGTTGTATTTCACACCTGAAAACAATATTGATCTCCTGTCTGTCTTTTATTTTATAGTAAAACATTACAGAAGAGTCGACATGTGGCCATGGGCAGAAAAAAATTCAACATGGACCCGAAAAAGGTAAGCCATCCTAAAAGTGAAGTTAAAAAAGTAATTCAGTTCAAGATAACAGAAAGAAGAAAAGGTGTTTCATGTTGCCACTGTTTTCCAGCACAGTCACATTTTTTTATATGGTCGTTAAAATTCTTTGAAAGAATCTCTTATGCTTACAAAAGACTGCATTTATATATCTGATCAGAGGTACAGTGATATAATGAAATATTGTTACACTTTATAAGAACTGTTTTTCATTTAAATCTATTTAAAATAAGCTTAATTACTCCAGGCTTCAGTGTCACATGATCCTTCCGAAATCATTCTAATATGATGATTTGCTGCGCAAGAAACATTTCTGATTATTATCAATGTTGAAAACTTTGTGGTGCTTCATATTTTTGTGGAAACTGCAAAACAAAAAAAATCTGGATTTTTTTTTAATGAAAAGAACAGCATTTATTTGAAATAGAAATTGGAAGTCTTTACTGTCTCTTGTGACCAATTTAATACGTCCTTGCTAAATAAAAGTATTAATTTCGTTTAAATATATGTTTAAAAGATGACTTAGCATTTTGTGAAAACACATACTGTATAGGTTTTTCTGAAACGTAAATATATTGATAAAATATTTTAAGGACATTTCGTGGCTGGACAATGTGGGAGATTTTAAACATTTTGTTACATTTGAATCTTTTCTTCATTTTCTACATATGTTCCTCTTTCACAGGGCATTGTATTCCTAGTGGAGAATGAGCTTCTCAGACACACTTCAGAGGACATTGCTCAGTTTCTGTACAAAGGAGAAGGACTCAATAAAACTGCAATAGGAGACTATTTGGGTGAAAGGTATTTTGCACTTCAACTGCATTATATCTGTGATTTTTTTAATTTTTTAATTTGTGACTAAGAAAAAGAAGTGCAATACCATATAAGCAACATTTAATTTTTGTTTCAAATCAATTTCAAAGCAGACGGGCATTTGAGATGAATTTAAAGAAACTTTTCTGAGAGGATTTATAGGGATAGTTCACGCAAAAATGAAAATTACCCCATGATTTACTCATGCATTCATATACACCTAGGATGGCTTGAGGGTGAGTAAATCATGCAGTCATTTTCATTTGTGCGGGAACTAAGCGTTTAACTTGGCAAACGGTCTCTAACAGCTAAAGCAACAAGCATATTTAAACTACTGATTTATAATATCATTATAATAGATCATATAATAACAATATTATTATGATAGATTTATAATAATATATAATAGATCAGAGATTTTGTTAATGTTGTATGTACATTTCTCTCTCTCTCTCTCTCTCTCTCTTTCAGAGATGACTTCAATATTAAAGTATTGCAGGCTTTTGTTGATCTTCACGAATTCACAGATCTGAACTTGGTACAAGCACTTCGGTAAATCAGCAACTTTTGTTTGTTTGTGTTATTAATATATTGAATTATCTTTTTTTTTCCTTTTTTTTTTCAGTAGTTTCATTGTGCTTTTGTCATTTGTTTTCCCCCCATTTGTTTTAGCTTTTTAGGTTTAATTTATTCTTATTTCAGTTAGTTTTATTTCCAGTTAATAATTTTAGTACTTAACTACACTTAAACTCATTTCAGTTTATTGCCAAGACAGCATTTCTAATAATAATCTAACTAATATTTACATTTAATTTAATTTCAGCTTTATTTCAATGAACATTTTTAGTTAACGAAAATAACCCTGACTAGTCTAGGAACATCTTGTTCATTTTGTATTGGGGCTTTTTGTGTGCAAAACAGTTTCGTATGTTCATATGTTATTGTGTTGTGCTTGTTTTCATGGTGCATCTGTGTGTTTCTGCTCAACGCAGGCAGTTTCTGTGGAGTTTCCGCTTGCCAGGCGAGGCTCAGAAAATCGACAGGATGATGGAGGCCTTTGCACAGAGATACTGTCACTGCAATCCTGGAGTCTTCCAGAGCACAGGTCACACACACACACACACACACACACACAGCTCCTGAGGCTTTCATCAATATGTACACTAGCTGTTCCACATGCTTTTGATCACAACATATAATAGGTCACATTTGTGTTATTTCATCATTTTGATTCTAAGATTCTCAGAATAGTCATAATTGAGTAAGTGTGTCTGGTTATGGCGCTTTTCCTCTGCATGGGTACGGCTTACTTAAATAGTACCAGTACCACCTCTGTTGAGGTTCCAAGCGAGCCGAACCGATACTGAAATGTGACGTGTAAACACTGCAGATCACTGATTGGTCAGAGAGACACCGAACCCGAACAAACAAACTTCTTCGTCTTGCGGTGAAAAACATTGAAATGCTGAGAATCAAGAACACCATTCCATCTCTCAGTCCTTAAACTCTGTCTTGTCCCCGCAGACACCTGTTACGTGCTGTCGTTTTCCATCATCATGTTGAACACTAGTCTGCACAACCCCAACGTGCGGGACAAGCCCACAGTGGAGCGATTCATCAGCATGAACAGAGGCATCAATGACGGGGGAGATTTACCAGAGGATCTGCTCAGAGTGAGTGTGAACGTGTCATTATGTCTCGACAGTGCGACAGTTTCACTGGCGTTTGCGACTAAAAATAGATGTGTGTGAGCTGTAAAATGTAGTTTGGAGCACGTGTGCGAATAAAAAAGCATGTAAACATCTTAAATCACATTATTCCCGCTCTGACCAAAGTGCGCATGTGCACGGACGTACACGCACATGTGTGTTCACACAACTTCGTGAATGAACTCCGTGACATTATTCTGAAGTTTTCTCTTCAAATCACTAAACTCTGTCTCTGCTCCGCATCTTCATCCAGACGGTGTGAAGAACGTGACGGCAGCTATTGCGATGTTCATTAGCGTGCCGAATAATATCCAGAACGTCCATAAAAATGTATTTTGAATTAATTAATGTGAGTAGATTAAAACAATGGCCAGTAACATGCATACTGTATTTCTATCTGAGTGTGGTATAATCATACTTATTAGCGAATAATCAGAATAATTAAAAAATTGCATGTAAACTGGAGTGCAGAGTTCTGCTCATATCATGTAAACATCGTACTGTGATTAAGACCTTACTCTGATTATAAGAAATAATCACATTATTGGTGCACCATGAGGTTTATTCGCAATATTGCCAAAATCCCATTATAATCGCATTATAAGGGTGCATGTAAACGCACCGGTAGTAACATGTTGTATATACGGTTTTAAGAATGCATATTTTATCTCCCTCATCTGAATTTGAATGAGCATCCTGCAATTATAAAGCATAGACATTTCAAAATAAGAGTCGCTGTCTGTTTTGGGCTCGTTTATAAATAAGTCTCGCAGTGTGTCCAATTTCCACCCAGTTATTATTTGGTTACACAAACTGTATGTAATTTCATTTAATTTTCATTTAATTTAAAGTAAACTATTTTAGCTTTTGTCTGTGATGCCCTGTCACAGGAAATTTGAGGCATGTTATTAAATATATATATTTTTACTAGTATCAGTGTTAATATAGTTAACAGAAACTATAAAACAATCTCTTTACTTGAAATAAATAAATGTTAACTGACATCAAATAAAATGTATAAAAAAAGTTTAGTTTCATTAGCATAACCTGATTTACCAAACTAAAACTGAGATAAAGATTTATAAAAAACTATACAGACATTTAAAAAGATTTAAAAAAAAAACTTAACTAAAATTAAAATGAAAGCAGAATTAAATTGAATTCAAAATATTAACAAACTATATAGTATCTCAGTGATGCTAAAATAACACTAGTATGGCGATTTGTTACAGTGTGTTTTTTATATATATATATATATAATGGAGAAATAGTTAGTTGCACCCCTAAAGTTTATAAATGCGCACATGTGCTCCTTGGGGAAAAGGTAAGCGTCAAGCCCTGTCTTGGCTGATTAGTATATTGTAATAAAAATGCTGTTACACAAATACATCAACATTATTGATTTTAAAAGGCTATGTTTTTTTGCTATAAAATAAAGAAAATGAATGACTTCAGCAGGGCCCTATGGAATCCAGTCATAAAAATAGAATTTAATAGAAGTAACACAAAATGTCACGGAATTTGACGAATTAGATTAATAAATCAAAAGTCTTCTCTGCATTTCTCTTCTCTTCTCTTAGCTTGCTTTCTAATGTAGTTGTCAAATAAGCCTAGTATTTTATTTTACAAATATTGTTGGCTTTTTGACTAATTGCATAAGAAAGGCGGTACAGTTATTCAAATCTTGATATGGATAAGTGTGTGAATATAAAATTGCAAAAAGACTGCTATTGAATTCCGCATGTTCTATGGGTCTCTGTGTGACACTGTGTGAATGTACTTCTCAAAGTAATAATAATTAAATTACAAAATTAAAACTTTATAGTATGGAATATCACACAATTTTAACAGTAAGCCTCTTTTGTGCAGCTTTTTATTTGTCAAAAAAATTAAAGCAATTGTTCATTTTCTATTGATTACTTTTTAAAAGATTCATTAATGCTTTATGCTTTCATTTGATTACCACTGTTTTGATACAAAAAACAGTGGGGCACATTATTGTAAAAATTGTATTAAGTGTTAAAGTTTTATTTATTCAATTGTTTAGACATGCTTTTTGATTTATTAAAATTGAATCAAGCCATAAAAAAGTTAAAATGGAAAAATAGAAATAAATTAGAAATAATAAAACAGAATTTGGGGATGGAAATAAAATGGATTTCATAGGGCCCTAAGAATGTTATGTTTTATAATCTTTTAATAAATTGTTAAATTATGTAGGTTTCACGAGCTCAATAAATTAGTCCTGCTTTTTTATTACTAAAAATTACTACATTTTTAATCAACCATTTCGTAGGGCTCTACTTCCGGTCTCTATGCTGCTCCAAATTGTTGAGTGTCTCAAGGCTTTTTTAATAATAACTATTCACATTGAATGCTTTTATAAACAAAGTGAGTGTCCTCTTCAGAATCTGTATGACAGCATTAAGAACGAGCCTTTTAAGATCCCAGAGGATGATGGGAATGACCTGACCCACACTTTCTTCAACCCTGACAGAGAAGGCTGGCTCCTCAAGCTAGGTGAGTCCCTCCTGATGTGCGCCAGGAGACTTTCTGTTTAACCACAGTCGTTGGAAGGGTCTCTATCATTGCCATTGCATGATATTCTATTTCATTGGCAGCGCTTTGCACTTTTTTTTTTCTCCTTAAAAAAAAACCCAAGCGAAACATCACTTCTAATTTCGAAGATTTACTTTCTTTCTGCAAATCTGCATGGCGAGCTCTGTGATCTCTCAAGCACTAAAAGCTTTTGAATCTGTTTCCCTCTCCCTGTGTCTCCCTCTCCTCTGTCTTTCTGTTTCCTGTGATCCGTCCTCCCCGTTCCCTTTTTCCGATCTCTTCTGGCTCCTGCTCTGCTTGACCTGTGATTTCTCTGCTGGGGCTGTTCACCCTTCAGGAGGTACGTACAGCCTTACTAGAAGGACCACTTAGATTAGGACACAATGATCTTATTAGTGATGTTTGCGAAGCATTATCATTATTGTAGTGATTGTGCTTCAGACATGACTGATTCCTCTAATTTGAATCAGAAAAGTAAGACTGATTACCTCTTGACTAATTTCTAGTTAGCCACTATGTTAAGACTGTGTCTTAAAGGGGTCATATAATGCCATTTTTGTACAAGCTAATATGATTCTTTAGGGTCTAAATTAAAAGTTTGTAATATACTTTAATTACAAATTCTCATTAGTATTGTAAGAAAACACTTATTTTACTTGGTCAAAAACAGCTCTGTTTTCAGCACGCCGTTTCAGTGCATATGACTTTAAATGATAATGAGCTTTGCTGACTCCGCCTCTCTGTTCTGTGCGTACACCGTTTGTAACACAATAACACAATAACCATAACGCGTTGTTCAGTATAAATAAACTTGGGATTATGAATTATATTGAGAACATCATACATAGAAAACATGCCGTAATGTACCCTGAGTGTAAACCTGAGACTCATTCATTGTGAAGCGTGCAGCTAGCCATTTGCAAAGATTAATATAAATATTAATATAAAGTTTAATAAAACGTTACACTCACTTCAGTTGTTCTAGACGTTCAGCAGGAACACGAATATCTGGTACCGATCCTTTTTTCATGAGCAGCTTCTTAGCAAATCCAGCTCATACTGACCCTCCTTTATAAAGCAGTCTGGTGAGAAATGATTCGCGCAAACATGAAAACATTGACGTTGCTCGTGGGGAATATTCCCTTCGAAAACAAACTCAGCCACTGCGTCTTCAGCGGTTCGGATTTAGGAACATTAAAATGACTGCTGACAGTGCTCCAGCATATCAACAATGAGCGCACCGGTCCGCGCAGACTATGATTCACAGCTGGCTCACGAGCGAGGGCGGGTCTGTGTTGAAACGCTGCTGTCAATCAACAATCGTGGGAGGGGCTTCCGAGCGTGTGACGTCACACGGTCGAACGGCTTGATTTGAGGCAGGGGAAAACATATAAGGAGATTAAAACAAACCACTAGATGTTTTTTTATTATTATATGATGGTTGTGTACAGGCACTGCCAACACACATTTCAGTACAATCAACTTGTAAAAGTGCATGTACCATTATATGACCCCTTTAAGAACTAATTTGGCCAAGTTTATGCAACTGGCGCCAGTAGTGATGGGTACTTTCGAAGCACTGCTTCATGAAGCTTCGAAACATTGCGAATCACTTGTTTCAAACCAGTGATTCGGAGCATGTATCAAACTGGCAAAGTGACGTGATTTCAGTAAACAAGGAATTGTACGAAATTCCAATGGTTCGCCACTAGGGTCGATCTCTGAGAACCATGAACCAGTGTCTATAGTTTTTACCTCATCTCTGATCAGTCTGTTATAATTTTGTAGAAAGTTTCAATGGCATAGTTTATAATAAAAAAAGGAAGAGTTGTAGTTTCTTATTGATTAACCAAGCTCTCCATAAAACATACAAAACAAGCCCTACAAATTCATAAAATAACATTATATATTTCTTGGTATTAGATGAATTGGTAATTGCATTTAATGGATTACTTTCAATAGAACATTTGCAGTTGGTTTGTAAAAAGTGCATGCATGTTTGGGTTGTGTTGACGTTGCATTTACACAATTCTGACCAGCAGGAGTCATCAGCTTGTGGGCGATTCAAAACTGAATTATTTTGCAAAGCAAATGGTTTTGCTGATTCGAAGTTTCAAAAAGCTTAGCCTGTTCACACCGGGACGAATTTCGTGCGCGATATTCGCCGACATTTAATGCCTCGTGACTAAACAAAGGGCGCCAATGTGAGTGTGCACACCGACGCGAAAAACGTAATTTTTTTAAAACTGCCTCAGGTTCGTTTTTTTGGTTTGACGCGCCGCGTCAAAAACTTTCCAACCAATGAGATCGGCGCTTTTACTCACGTGTCTGGAGTTTCTGAAGTTACAGTAAAACACAACTTGGGGGCGCTCAAACACAAAACGGTCTTGCCGAGCACACATACGTAACGGCGAAGAAGATAGACGCCAAGTAGCGTCTACACTGCCGAGGAGAAATGAGACGAGGAAGATGTAAGGCAAGATGAATGTAGAGCCGCTGGTCTCGTTGCTGTCGGAACATAAAGAACTATATGACAAACGCGACAGCGACTACAAAAATCTTGATAAAAGAGAATGTTATGGAGTGGTATTGCAGAGCAAATGGGCGCCATCTAATGTCAGGGAATGAATTTGCATGTCCACTCGGCTCATCGTCAGCGAAAATCGCTTGGGTGTGAACACAAAAAAACGCGTTGAAAAACGCTGGCGAATAACGCGCGCCGATATTCGTCCCGGTGTGTACGAGCCTTTAGACTATCACTAATGAACAGACCATTAAATGAGGGGGAAAAACCCTCATAGACCTGAAAAGTGACCTACCTCTTACATACACTATATGGACAAATGTTTTGGGACACACTTTTAATTACTGAATTGAGGTGCTTCAATCAGACCCATTGCCACAGGTGTATAAAATTAAGCACCCAGCCACACAGTCTGCATTTACAATCATTTGTGGGAAAAATGTCTTTCTGAAGAGGTCAGTGAATTCAAGCGTGGTACTGTGATAGGATGGCACCTTTGCAATTAGTCCGTTCATGGAATGTCATCCCTGCTAGATATTCCACGGTCGGGTCAACTATAAGTAGTATTTTTGGAAAGTGGAAGTGTTTAGGAACAACAGCAACTCAGCCACGAAGTGGAAGACCATGTTATGTTACTGAGTGCTGAGGCTCATGGTGTGTAAAATTCGTCAACACTCTGCTGATTCCATAGCTGAAACATCCATTAATATCAGCACAAATACTGTGCGGCGGGAGCTTCATGGAATGAGTTTCCATGGCCGAGAATCTGCATGCAAGCCTCACATTACCAAGTACAATCCCAAGTGTCGGATGCAGTTGTGTAAAGCACACCGCATCTAGAGTCTGGAAACATATTCTCTGGAGTGATGAATCACACTTCTCTGTTTGGAAGTATGATGGGCAAGTCTGGGTTTGGCGGATGCCTGCCTGACTTCAATGTTTGGTGGAGGAGGGATAATGGTATGAGGCTGTTTTTCAGTGGTTGGGTTACTCCACTTACTTCCAGTGAAGGGAAAACATAATGCTTCATACCGAGGCATTTTAGACAATGCTATGCTTCCAACTTTGCTATTCCAGCATGACTGTGCCCCAGTGCACAAAGCAATGTTCATAAAGGCATGGTTGGATGAGTTTGGTGTGGAGGAACTTGACTGGGCCTCACAGAGTCCTGACCTCAACCCAATCGAACACCGTTGGGGTGAACTGGAATGGAGATTGTAAGCCGGGCCTTCTCGTCCAACATCAGTGCCTGACCTCACACATGCCCTACTGGATGAATGGGCAAAAAATTCCCACAGAAACACTCTCAAATCTTCTGGAAAGCCTTCCCAGAAGAGTGGAAACTGTTATAACTGCAAAGGGAGGACCAACTCCTTTTAGAGTTTAGAATGGAGTGTCATTATAGTCCCTGTTGGTGTAATGGTCAGGTGTCCCAAAACTCCATATAGAATATAGTGTATATTCTCATAGAGGTTTGAGGCTGTGAGCTCTTTTGACTTTTACCTCTACACAACCACTTAGCAACCAACCAAAACACAAAAGAAGTGTCATTGTACTCAAGCAACCACTCCTAATACACTGGCATCTTGGTAAAGATTTTTGCACTAGCAAACATCAATACCAATCTGCAGAAAATGTAAAAAAAAAAATCTTGTAAAGTTAGTTTAGTAGGAATTTAGTTGGGTTTTTCAAGGTTTTCACTCTACTAATAATATTATGTGTGTAGAGATTTCTTGCTGTGTCTGTGCAGTTTCATTTGCAGGCTGACAGAGGAAATTTGATGTTTAAAAAGCCTGTCTTACATCTCTAATCCAGTGTAATTATCATTCTCAGGAGGTCGTGTGAAAACATGGAAGAGACGATGGTTCATTCTGACAGATAACTGCCTCTATTACTTTGAGTACACAACAGTAAGTCAATCAAAAATAGCAATATTTCATTTTATTACACAGCTCTTTGTAATACTTTTGTATAAAATACTTTTGATACTGATACTGAAAATACTGATAGCCATTTATTAAGCAGGATAATGAATTGGCCAGCAGTCAATTATAGTTCATTGTACAAAATTATTTGACCAGAGAATGCTGCGGTGGACCAATCAGAATCAAATATTCTAGAGAGCCATGTAATAATTGTTTGTACTGAATTGATCAAAAGTGATAGTAAAGACATTTGTTACAAACGATATATATTTCTAATAAATAACATTTTGAACTATTTATCAAAGAATCTTGAAAAATTTATCAGTTTCCACAAAAATATGAAGCAGTATAATAATAAGAAGAAATGTTTCTTGAGCAGCAAATCATCATATTAGAGTGATTTCTGAAGGATCATGTGACACTGAAGACTGGAGTAATGATGCTGAAAATTCAGCTTTGATCACAGGAATAAATTACACTTTTAAAATATATTCACATAGAAAGCAGTTATTTTAAATTGTAATAATAGTTCAGTGTTTTTACTGTATTTTGGTCTTGGTGAGCATGAGAGACTTAGTGACCTCAAACCTATGAATGGTTGTGTGTACTCCACGGGACTGAATTGACCCCTGATGGGACGTTCTGACTGATTTACTGAGTGTTTGTGTGTGTTTAGGACAAGGAGCCCAGAGGCATCATACCATTGGAGAACCTGAGCATTCGAGAGGTCGAAGATCCCAGAAAGCCAGTAAGCCGAATGCACCTAATCAAATAGAACAATTTCAATGATCATTTTCATATCGACTATAGATTCTTTTATTTACCATTAGGGCTGGGCAGTATATCGAACAGGGTTTGTGTGCTGTTTGTTCATGGTGTTGTTTTTTGTGTGCAGAACTGTTTTGAGCTGTACATCCCTAATAACCGCGGGCAGCTGATTAAAGCGTGTAAGACCGAGGCTGATGGACGTGTGGTGGAGGGAAACCACATGGTGTACCGGATCTCAGCTCCCACCCCAGAGGAAAAGGACGAATGGATACACAGCATCAAGTGAGTAAACCGCTGAATGAAGATGCTCGAGGGGTTTCTGAAGATCTCAGAGGGCAAGGCATTCGAAAGAGTAAAGAACGACCTGACAAAGGGGCTCAAATGCTGTAAAAATATTCACTCTGATGCCAGTGCAGCCTCTGACAAATATTTGCGTACTTATCTGAAGTATATTTGCATTTCCTGATGGGAATAGCAGGGTATATGCTAGTATACTCCTCAGGGCACAAAAATAACAGATACAAATATTTGAAATGTAAATTTTGCGCTCCTAAGCCTTCCAATATGTCCCTCCCCAACATGTTTAGCCTGTCTTACATATAACAATAGTCAGAAAAATCTTTTCTTCTTTTTTTTTTAATGGAACAGTTTATTGAACCTTTAGACAAGATCTAAAAAAAATATATATATATATGAAGAGTTTGGTTCCAAAACGCGATAAACGCCATTTTTAAAAAAAATTAGTTACTGCAAAAATCAGTAAAACTTGAAGCATAACTCTGGCATTATTCAACCCATAGCCCTGTTGAGCAAGGTCACTGTGAGCTATAGCTATTCCTTTACCTATCAATAGCTTGTGGTGACCTTGCTCAACAGGGTTATGGGTTGAATAAAAATCTTTAAAAAAATCTTATAGGCTTAAACAAGTCATATAAAATTGATACTATAATATGTGAATCTTTGAAAGTACGTGTTTTTGTCTGTGAAAACTTACTAAAAATATTATACTAATAAACTTACGTTGTTGTGTATTTTCAACAGTTTCAATATGAAAAAAAAACCTTTTATATTGATTCAATGGATTAATTGCATTTTGAAATTTTTTTTATGGATTTATTGCATTTTGGGGGAAAAATAATCCGTTTTTATAATAAATCTTTAAAAAAAAAAATTAATCCAGGTTTTGATTTTCAGTTATTATGACCTACAAATGCTATGTGAAAGTTTGAAACAGAAAATAGTGGTTCCCTTTCGAGGAAACTCTACACTGCGTCGAGAATCGACACTTTGGGGACGCTCCCTAAGCGTGCGCCTCTGAAGTATGAATGAAACTATTCCAATCCTGATTGGTGTTGCGTCGTGACGTAACATGTGACGGCATACCCGGAAGTATAAAAGTGACGCTGTCACAACACACACTAGCTTTCGCTCTTCAGCAAGCGCTCTGTGTTGAAACTGTCTGTCTTATTTGGTGTTGTTTGTCAATCAGTTGATCAGAATGGCCAGCGAACAATTTAAAAGATGTGTGCATCCTTGCCCTCGTTTTATTACGGGTGGGGACACGCATGCTTTGTGTGTGAATTGTTTGGGAGCGCAGCATGCACAAGCAGCTCTTGAGGGAGCTGTTTGTGCAGACTGTGAAGCACTTCCTATTAGAGTGCTGCGCTCCCGGCTGGCGTGCTTTGATGAGCACGGTCAGGCTCGCGTTCCCCACGGTTCTGGTCCCGCGTCCGTTGAGGCGGCGCGACGATTGAGATCGCGGGGTTCGCAGCGGGATCTTACAGATGAGAATGGGACTGCTGCGGCACTTTCTCATTCTTCATCTGAGGATCCCGTAGCCCCTGAGAGTGGTACAGGAGCCCGCATCGCGGCTTCTCCTGCCCACGATCAGGTCCCAATGCTTGAGCTCTCTGCTTCTGAGGAAGTGGATGTGCTCAGTATTGATGCGGATGACCGTGATTTGGGCGCGTCAGTTCACGGCCAAAGCTATGAGGAGCTGGTAGAGGTTGTGACTCGTGCTGTGGCCAGACTTAACATTAGCTGGCCACATGATGAGCAAGGAACGCAAGTGAAAGCAAGCTTGATGAGCGTTTCCTGCAGCACAGGTCACAACCTCAGCGCTGGGCTAACTGTTTTTCCCCAATCTTACAAATAAAGAGATAGGAACTCTCCTGGGAAAAACCCCACTCTTTTTCAAATCTGATCACATTCACTAAATGATTATTTGAAGAGGTGGGTGTGAGATGGCGGTTGGTCAGGCTGGTACGTTCCTGTACTCTAAGACGATTTTACAGGCGTATAATGGCACTAAACGTACCATAGCTTATTGTAGCAGTTATGATGGTTGAGAGACATCAGTGGCTTAATTTGTCTGGTATAAAAAAGGGAAGACAAATATTTTCTGCTGAACGCTCCGCTATCACCTTCTGGCCTGTTCTCCGACGCTGTAACTTCAATCGTCGACAGGTTTATAAATAAATAAAAAATATATATATATATATATATATATATATATATATAAATAAATATATATATATATATATATAAAACTATATATGTTGTCCCGCCGTTTTTGAACGTTTCGGGCTACCTCGATTTCCAGCGAACGCACACCGTGGCGTTCACCCCAAGAGCTTGCAACCGGGCACCGACTATGGTCACAAAATTTTTCTAGACTTTTTCCTGCCGGTCATCTGCTTCAGGAAGTCGAGAATAGTGCTCGAGAAACACCCGAGGCCGGTCCCAAGGGGCTGGTTCCCTTAGTAAATTTTGTAGAATGGCAACGCCTTCCAATTATCTATATGGGTCCTGAATATTTTCAAATATGGGTACGGACTGCAGTTCGTTTACCGACCTCCCAGCTTTGTTGGGGTCGTACCGACCGCAGGGGTTCCAGAACAGGCTCGGGTTATGGAACAAGAGGTACAGACTTTACTGGAGTTAAGGGGCCATAGAGAGTGTTCCCCTACCAGATAGAAAGTCCAGGTGTTACAGCCGGTACTTTTTAGTTCCAAAGGAGGATGTTGGACTGAGGCCAATTTTAGATCTAAGGCTATTGACTTGTTCTTTGAGGAGATCCAGGTTCAAAATGCTTACAATTTCCATTATCGGAAACCAAATCAGATCCGAGGACTGGTTTGGCATGGTAGATCTAAATGTTGGGGCTGTCCACTCAGTTGCAGGGCAACCGATGTTGTTCTTGCAGCGGGGCCCGGAAACGATGTGTATTGCCCGCCGTCTATGACGCTTCGGGCCGCATCATTTTCCAGGGAACGCATTCTGCGTCGTCTGTCCTCGAAAAATAAAAGACGAGCATCAGTTATGGTCACGAAAACCGTATCGACTACAGCCTGCCGGTCTTCCGCTTCAGGCAGTTGAGAAGGGTGCTCGGAAACCACCAGAGACCAGTCTCGAGAGGCTGGATCGGATGTGGTTCTTGCAGCGGGGCCCGGAAACAATGTGTATTGCCCGCCGTCTATGACGCTTCGGGCCGCATCATTTTCCAGCGAACGCACTATGCTTCGTTTTTCCTCGAAAAATAAAAAACGAGCATCAGTTACGGTTACGAAAGCCGTATCGACTACAGCCTGCCGGTCTTCCGCTTCAGGCAGTCGAGAAGGGTGCTCGGAAACCACCAGAGGCCAGTCTCGAGAGGCTGGTTCTCTTAGATCGGGGTTCTTCCGTTCGGCCTAGCACTCTCTCCCCGCATGTTCATGTGTAGGTTTATGGATGCGACTCTGGCTCCACTGAGGCTTCAGGGCATCCGTATACTGAATTACTTCGACGACTGGCTCTTATTGGCCCAGTCTCGAGGAATGGCAGTTCGGCATTGAGATGTCGTCCTTGGCCAGAATTAGAATCGGGGGTTGAGACTCAACACTAAGAAAAATGTGTTGGACCCAGCTCAGAAGACTGCTCTTCTGGGCATGAAATGGAATTCGATTACAATGTGGGCACGTATGTCTCCCGCTCGTATCGAATCCATCCAGGCCGTGGTGTCCGGGATAAAGCTAGGCCAGACCATCACTGTAAAGCAGTTTCAAAGACTGCTGGGCCTTATGATAGCGGCATCCAACATTATACATTTGGGCCTTCTACACATGAGGCCCCCTTCAGTGGTGGCTGAGAGCCAAGGGTTTTTTCCCTCAAGGGGAATCTGTTCCGTATAGTCAGAGTTACGCGCAGATGCCTTCGTTCTCTGGTAATTTGGAAGAAACCTTGGTTCCTATCCCACAGGCCAGTGCTGGGAGCGTCATGTCGCCGGAAAACCGTTTGACAGTCGCCTCCCTCGCTGGTTGGGGTGCGGTCATGGACGGCCGCTTTGCCAGGGGTCTGTGGCAGGACCATCATCATTCTTGGCACATAAACTGTCTAGAGATGATGGCTGTGTTCAGGGCTTTGAGGAGCTTCCTCCCAGACATCAATGGTTACCATGTCTTAGTACGATCAGACAATACGTCTGTGGTAGCTTATCTGAACCGACAAGGGGGACTCAGATCGCGCCCTCTGTGCAGACTGGCGCATCAGATTATTCTTTGGTCCCAGGGGAAAATACTCTCTATCAGAGCAATGTATATTCCGGGGGTTCAGAATCAGGGAGCAGACATCCTGTCGAGGCAGGGGCTGAGGCCCGGGGAATTTAGACTTCATCCCGATGTGGTGAAGTCAGTATGGGAGAGGTTTGGACCATTGGAAGTGGATCTGTTTGCGTCTCGAGAGACGTCCCACTGTCCACTTTGGTTCTCCCTCACACATCCAGCCCCACTGGGGTTGGATGCCATGGTACAGGCCTGGCCGAGGCTTCGCCTGTACGCACTTCCCCCGATCGCTCTGCTCCCGGGAGTCCTGGAGATGGTCCGTCAAGAGGGCATCAGTCTACTTCTGGTTGCCCCGAGGTGGCCGCTCCGAGTATGGTTTTCAGACATTATATCACTCCTGATAGCTCCACCATGGCAGATTCCTCTGAGGAGGGATCTGTTGTCCCAGGCGGAGGGCACAATCTTCCACCCTCACCCAGAGCTGTGAAAGCTGTGGGTCTGGCCTCTGAGGGGGTTCAGTACCTAAATGCTGGTCTATCAGCTGGAGTAGTTGAAACCATACTTAGCTCTAGGGCTCCATCTACTAGGAGATTATATGGCCTCAAGTGGAATGTGTTTTCACTTGGTGTAGAGAACATGAGTTGGACCCAGTTAACTGCCCGGTGGCTTCAGTTCTGGAGTTCCTTCAAGATCGTTTCTCTGCGGGTCTCTCCCCTTCCACGCTTAAGGTGTACGTGGCTGCCATTGCGGCTTTCCACTCACCTTTAAGTGATGGGCCTCTGGGGAGGCACCAGTTGGTCATTCGTTTTCTCCGTGGTACTTGGAGGATGAGACTGGCAACCAGGTGCAGGGTTCCTGCCTGGGACCTGGCAATAGTTCTGGAAGGGTTGTCCCTGGCCCCCTTCGAACCTCTACAGTCGGCTTCGCCTAAGGACTTAACGCTGAAAATGTTTTTTCTCTTAGCTATTACCTCACTTAAGAGGGTGGGAGATCTCCAAGCCCTGGTACACCAGCTTGCTTGGAGTTTGCCCCTGGCAGAGTAAAGCTTTTTTGCACCCGAGTCCGGGCTACGTGCCTAAAGTATCGAATACGGCTCGGTCTACAGTTCTTCAGGCATTCCATCCTCCACCTCATGTGTCGGCAGAAGAAGAGAAGCTTAATTTGCTCTGCCCCGTCAGAGCTTTGAGCGTGTACCTTGAGGGTCCTCTTCTTGGAGAAGGTCGGACCAATTATTAGTATGTTTTGGGTCACCTAAGAAGGGGCTCCCGGCATCCAAGCAAACTATTAGTAATTGGATTGTTCAGGCTATTACTGAGGCTTACAAGGTGCGCAATTTGCCTTCACCTTTAGCCGTGAGGGCTCACTCAACTAGAAGCATGGCTTCTTCTAGGGCCCTTCTTTCAGGAGTTCCTCTACAGGAGATCAGTGAGGCAGCCAGTTGGGCTACTCCACATACTTTTATTAGGTTCCACAGTCTCCACCTTCCTAGTACGCCTGGCACACACGTGCTCAGTCCTTGCTGAGTGCCTAAACAGTTTCACTCCGGGACAGGCCTATTCGGTGCGTGGCCTAGTGGGCACTCGTTCCCCAAAGTGTCGATTCTCGACGCAGTGTAGAGTTCCCTCGAAAGGGAAGGTCTCGGGTTATGACTATAACCCTTGTTCCCTGAGAAGGGAACGAGACACTGCGTCGTTCTGCCACGCCCCTTGAGGCCTTGGAGCGTCTTGCTTCATCGCGAGGCTAGTGTGTTGTTGTGACAGCGTCACTTTTATACTACCGGGTATGCCGTCACATGTTACGTCACGACGCAACACCAATCAGGATTGGAATAGTTTCATTCATACTTCAGAGGCGCACGCTTAGGGAGCGTCCCCAAAGTGTCGATTCTCGACGCAGTGTCTCGTTCCCTTCTCAGGGAACAAGGGTTATAGTCATAACCCGAGACGTTTTCATCTTTCCACTTTCTTGGTAAAGAAAACACATTTTTACTCAAATTAATCTAAATGGATTTATTGCGTTTTGGAACCAAACTCTTCATATATATATAATATATATATATATATATATATATATATATATATTTGACATTTGATAATGTCAAATATATATATATATATATATACAGTATTTGACATTTGATAATGTCTGAGTATCATAATGCGTCAGGCTTTTATCGGTCATGTAGTATGATTTAGTGAAAATATGGAGCTCATATTAAAGGAGGAAAAACAGCTCAGGCCCAAAAATGGGAAATTTGTTGCAGATGCAGATATTTTTATGGTTAGATGAAATTCTGATAGCTTGTACTGTAAATCAATGAGATCTTTATAACAATATAGCAGATACTTACATAAAATCATATAAATATCAGTTTTCACTCTATATCTCCCAATAATGTCTTGATGGTAAGATGATTTTTAAATACTTAGTTTTATGATCAAAGCTCTGTAGTTTTAAAACATTGAATGCAATGCAACACAATGATGATTGAGAGATGAACAAATAAACGTTCCTCAAAATCCGGATGGATCATATTTGATACTCACAATTTAATATGATTTTTATAAAAAAATATGTATGGATAATCAAGTAATCAGTCCAGTAAGTGTTCATCTTGAAATACTACTAACAATTTAAAAGCTATTCTTACATTTACTTTGTGCTGTGTAAAATCTTTACTGATTTTTATAAAGTATAAACTATCTCAATCAGACGACAGAAGACATGCTGTAGATTGTGTGCAAAAGTTTTTTTTTGTTTTTTTTTTATCATTTAGAGGCCTTTGAAATAACGTTTCCTTTTTGTTAAAAACCGAGCAAAGAACAACACTCGGAGATGTTTCTCCGCCGCTCTGCATACGTCATCTCCTCCATCGCTCTGATTGGGTTTAGGTCTATCCGCGACGTCCGTTGGTGACGCCCCTCTGGAAATGATTTGTCTATGACGCTTTGCCAGACCATAACTCAGTTACAACTGAGAATGGTCTGGTTTTAACCAGGCTAATACAACTAGGCATTATAGGGTCAAATGGGAAATCTATGCCAACTCTGCAAATAAGAGCATGGAACATGACCCGATCTTCTGTTTCTGTTCCAGATCTGCTGTGAGCATCGACCCCTTCTACGAGATGCTTGCTGCCAGGAAGAAACGCATTTCCCTAAAGAAGAAGGAGGAGCAACCCTAGAAGTCCTCCATTTCTCCTCCATCCTTCCAAACACTCCATCCATTCTCTGAGAAACCAATGATACTTCATTAAGGTAGCTCTTGTCCTCTCATCAGAAGAATCCATAATGCTGGTTTTATGGAGAGGTGGATGTCGTTGGGTACACCTGAACGTCATCATCTTTGGTTTGGATTTAGGTGGTCTGGACTGCACAATTACCCATCTCTTATGTTATAACTTCTACTACACTTGTACACTACACAGTGTTATTCACTATCACTCTAGTTCGTAGTCCCGCACTATATTACGCTGACATTCCATAACATTCAGACATAAATCTGCATAATTCTCCATCCTCACCTCATCACGTTCACTTTTTCTTCCTGCGCTCTCACATTCGGTGGCTTCTGTCCACCATTCCTGCTATTTCCAGCATTTTACTGTGAAGTTCTTACACATACAGGGTAGATGACCAACCAGCCTGATGTATCTTCATCACCACCATCGTCAGGGACCGATTCAACCGAGCCTTTAGCAGAAATGAGCAGGAAGTTTCGTTCGCACTGAAGGCTTTTGTTATTGATTTACTGGGTCGATCTGCTACCTGTCTTAGTTATTTAACTAAACTGACACTATTTATCTCTTACTCGTTCGAGTTTATTCACATGTTATAAATGAAGATGTAAATGAAGGTCATTGCTGTTCACACTACATATCAAGACTGAGTTAAGCATATCCCATCAGTTGTTTTTAGACTAATATTGGTATATATAGAATAATAATAGTGATAAACCTGCCAGTGATGTCATTTCCTGTGCACAGTTGATGACAACTATATTGAACTTCATTGACCCATCAAAGCATCTGTAGAAACACATCTCATTGTATGCGAGTCCTTAAATAAGCTCCTCCACCTTTGAGAAAAGAGCCTTAAAAGTCCCCAAGCCCTGTTTCTGAATGTTTTTACTAGTGTTTCAACTAAACCAACTGGGTTTAAACTGATAACTCAACCACTGGTGCTGCAAAACTGTTCTTGGGGGGAATCTCATGAAAATATGTCCAGATTATATTGTACACTAAGAAGAAAAATTGATTTTGCAAAAAGAAATTAACTCATTTTCAAGATTTTGTTTTTTAATTTAATTTATTGTTTGCCCTTAACTAAGCACATTTCCCTCCAAATGCATCCAGATGTTTGGCGGAATTAAATCTAATTTTGGTAACATTGGGTCACATTTGTTAAAGGGTTAGTTCACCCAAAAATTACTCGTTCCAAACCCGTAAGTCTTTCGTTCATCTTCAGAACGCAAATGAAGATGTTTTTGATGAAATCTGAGAGATTTCTGGGTAACACTTTACTTGAAGGGGTGTGCATAAGACTAACATGACACCTTCATAATCATGACATGACACATGTTATGAATATGAAGGAAGTTTTATGCATGTTTGTGACAACTGTCATTAAGTGTCATTCGCTCAATTATGACATTTTTAATGCAAATATGACATTGTTTGAGATGTCTTTGTTATGACACCTTGACATAAACCAATACAGCATAACCTTACAGTGTCTTTGTCATGACAACTTGATACTACTAAGACAACACAACCTGTCATAAACATGACACAGCAGATTAATTATCAAACTTAAGAAACCACTTAGCTTTATGGGTTAACATTACATTAAACTGTCAGGTGGTTGGTTTTGACATTGGCTGTCATGAAGCCATTATAACTGTTTAATGACAAATTCAATTTGTACCACTGTAGTTGAGGTCACGAAAAAATATTCATGACACAGTTATAATGGCCTTATGACAGACAATGTCAAAACCAACCACATGACAGTTTAACTTAATTTAATGTCAAGTTGTCATGACAAAGACACTGACAGATTATGATGTTATGGTTTATGTCAAGGTGTCATAACAAAGACATCTTAAACAATGTCATATTTGCATTCAAAATGTCATTATTGAGCAAAAGACACTTAATGACAGTTGTCATAAACATGCATAAACCCTACTTCATATTCATGACATATGTCATGTCATGGTTATGAAGGTGTCATGTCAGTCTTATGTACACCCCTTCAAGTAAAGTGTTACCGATTTCTGTCCCTCCATTGACAGTCTACGCAACTACCACTTCATGATGCTTCAAAAAGTTCATTAAGAGATTGTGAAACTAATCCAAAACTAGTCCAAATTTTCTGAAGAGACTCGATCGCTTTATATGATGAACAGATTTAATATAGGCTTTTATTCACATATAAACATTGATCAACTCACAGCTCAAGCCTGTTCGCTTGACGTCCAAGAACCAATGAGGTTCATTCTCGTGCGTCAGTCATGTTCATGTTCGCTGATCAATGTTTATATGTGAATAAAAGACTTAAATCTGTTCGTCATATAAAGCGATCGAGTCTCTTCAGAAAATTTTGACTAAATTCATAAGGATTAGTTTTACGATCTCTTTATGAACTTTTCAGTTGTGTAGCTGTCAATGGAGGGACTGAAATGTCTCAGATTTCATCAAAAAGATCTTCATTTGTGTTCTGAAGATGATCGACGTGAGACGCGATTTTTTTCTTTTTAGGTAAACTAACCCTTTTGTTAGCATTAGTTAGTGGACAGAGCATTAAATATTAACTAAGATTAATAAATGCGATAGAAGTATTGTTCATTGTTAGTTTATAACAAACGAGACCTTATTGTAAAGTGTTACCCTAATTTCTTTTGAGTTTGGGATGAAATTTGACATGGTCTTGACAGGTTTGGTGAGATTCGCTCTGTGCCATTACAAGCAAACCGTCTCGATTGGCCTTTCAGAATGTGTGTTTGCCAAAGCAGAGAAAGACTGCCGTGTCTGCTGCTTAATCCCCCACAAACCAGACATGAAAACACGATGGTTTCGTATAATTCCTGATCCTAAAACATGTGCCAGACGTACTTGTATCGTTATTTGTGTGAAACACTAGTTACTCCCTCTTACTCAGTGCTGTTCAGTTTGAAGGAGTCCATGGCAGCTTTTTCCAATGTACATTATATTTTGCCTTTTTCTGTTTGTAAATACATGTTGTTATCTTTGTTTACTACACACATTGCTAGCATTTTTATTTATTGTTTTTCCAACTCTTTCTTTTTTTGAGAAACAAGGATCGGGGGTTGCATGTTGTACTGAATTGAAGCATCTTTTGTAAAGGGTGTGTTTTGGGCACGTCAAAGGCGACTATTAGCGTTCTGTATTTCTAAACCTCACGTGAGCGTGCGAGTCTGCAAATTGGCATTGCAGTTCAAAAAGCATCTAGTAGCTATTAAAACGTGTACTTGATCAATACAAAGCGATAAATATTTTTAAAGCCGATTTATACGGAACACTAATAGCGTCTGGAGTCTAAAATAATAATAATAACCACGCTATTTAAATATACTAATTATGAAATGGTTAATACTGAGAATTGTTTAGCCGTGCATTTTGCTTGACTTTTGTGATTTTTCCCGATTAATATAAAGCTTGGCTATAGTAATCGATGTCTTTGACTTTAAGACATATTTAATAGTTTGGAGTTAGAATCCATGTTTATGGCACTTTAATAGAGTTCAGCACAGTTTCGACTAAACGACAGCCTGATTTACTCTCTAGTGCCCTCTATGAGTATGTAATGATACTGCAGTTCTTAACTGGTTTAAGCCTTGCTGCACACTTAAAGGATGCCAGTATACAGCATCCACATCAAATCGTTTGAGGTGAACCTGCTTCACATTGTATTGTATGTTAACCCACAGGCCACACGTATATGACTGCGAGAGATCTCAAGAGACTCCCAAGTGTTAAATGGCATTAAACTGCTGACTGCAACAGTACATTCCTTGATATAAGCTATATGTTTAAACGAATAGTTTGGGCATGACGTGGTCTGATGAAGACTGTAGAATGACTCTGATGACTTGAATACGTTTTGGAGACTCTAAATCTGGGCATTCTTGATGAGAAGTGCGAAGGTGCCAAAACCTTTCAGCTAGTCTGTGAATACGATACGACAATTGAAAGCGTTTCCTCCTCATCTATCTTTTTTTTTTTTTTTTTTTTTTTTTTTTTTTTGATTGGCCACAGAATGGTACAGATTGTTGAGAAATTCATGTAGCAAAATGAAAACTCAGTTATGGTACACTGGTGCCAATCAACTCTAATAAACAAAAAGATTTTAAAAAAGACATTCACATTGTGTGTGTGTTTATTAATAGCTGGTGAATATTGTTATCAACAAGGTGTACTTGGAAATATTTGTAAACCTACAAAACAAGAGATTAATATTCAACCTCTATCTCACACATTTTGTACAAATTCATACAGTGTTATTTATAGAAAAAAAAGTAAGCATTAACAAATTCATAAATTTGCCAAAATAATTGTGAATTGTCATGAGGCTGTTGCAATATAAGGGCTGGCAACAAGTATTTGCATGAACATGTTATTTACAAAAAATAATGCATTAAGTAGGCCTACCTTTTAAAGTAAACATGAAATTTTGATAGCTTTCAGATCTTTAAAGCAGACTAATTACATGAAATGCATATTAATGTCAGTGGTTGTCTTTCTACATCTGCTAATAATCTTAGTAAGATGATATTTAAATACTTAGTTTTATGATCAAATCGCTGTAGTTTTAAAACACATAATGCAGTGCAATACAGTAGGCCTAATGATTAAGAGATGAACAAATAAGCCTTCCTCAAAAGATTGATGGTTCATATTAGATACTCACATTTTTAATGATTAAAAAAATGTGTGGATAATCAAGTAAACCTAAGTTGCTCCGAGTTATTCTTCTATTTACTTTATAAAAATCAGTGAGGATCACAGCAAAAATATATGAAATACCACCTGAAGGGGGATGGTTTTACAAATCTACTAAAAGGCTTTTGACTTGCTAAAAAGTCTAAACTATCACTCATCAGACGACAGAATGCATGCAGTAAATTGTGCAATAGTTTTTTTTAGCTTGTCCACTTTCAACCACCACTTCCAGAGGCAGTCAAAAACGCATTCGGCCGGATTGCTTAGGTAGTGTAGAAGCTCATGTGGTCAAATGTGTTCAAACAGCCAGAAAAGACCGTCTACTCTCCGTCTACTGACCTAATGAGTAAACACAAGAGCATAAGGACGGATACAGGATTTAAACTTTGTCGACTAAAGACCCAAGTTTGGTTTGAAGATGAAAAATGTGCCAAGCACAGCGTTCTCTCACCATTCCTGATTTGTGATTTCTAACACACACTCGCAGCGTTCGGCTGGTTTTCCATATGTTTTTCCATCGTCTCCGGTCCGCTCCGGTCACGTAAATTAGTGTTGCCAGATTGGGACGGTGATTTCCAGCCCAAAAGCTCACCAAAACCCGCCCACTACAAGAAAAAACCGCCCAAAATTTTACTGCCAAAATAATGTGATATAATTTCATTACCATGTCATTTAAGGTTGATAAGCACAATTTGTATCTCTTTAAAACAAAATAACGATGATAAAATAAAATAAAAAATAAATAAATTTTCCAGCAAAACAGATCAAAACAGGGCAATAATTAAGGAGAATTAGCCAATATGACTAAAATGTCCAGGTGGACACTGTCAAAACGGCAATCAAGAACCGATGACTTTAACCCTCGGAAGTAGCCTACACATTGCAGAACATAATGCAGAATTTAGCAGTCAAAACGGATTCATGGTTGATTCAAACCTTTTTCAGCAGCTGTCAGGGACAAGTAGAGTGCAGTCTGGATGGTGCAGTTGCAGAATGCAGATGTTTGGTTAGGCTAGTGTGCACATGTGACATGGACAGGAATCGTCCCATATTTGATTTCAATTCAAGTCATTCAACTGTGCTCTCCTCTCAGAGTTATATTCACCATATAGTGACGTGTGCGTTTTTTAGAGTTGCTCACTAATGTACACTCTTTTGTATAGTAGCTATGTCACTTTGCCTTAGCGATCACTTGAATATACAGCTACAACTTCTCGCGCTCAATCGGGTCTGCCTGCGGATCGCTGATTGGCTAAAAGTGCGTGCTCGTCGCCGGTGATGTAAACACTAACGCCAGCTGACTCTGCATGAGCGTTTATGTACACTAATGTCATGATGACTGATTTTATGGACTACATGCACTTTAGTTTCGTTTTTTTAACCAATTAGACTTTAAAATGTAGATGTTTGAAAACCGCCGAAATGATCCCAAACCAGCCCAAATTTTGACCACCCGCCCAAACCATTTTTTACCCGCACAATCAAATTCAAAACCGCCCAATTGGGCGGGAATCTGGCAACACTGCAGTTGTGAGCTTTTTTCGAATAAAATCTACATTTACCCGCCCATAGACCCTCCCCTCGGAGAAATCAGGACAGAAGTGGTTGAAAGTGGACAAAAGAGACGGATTAAAACACCAGGTGTAAACGGGTATGTGTCTCCCTCATCTTTGTGATCCGATCGACCAAAATGCATCTCAATACCAGGTGTAAACAGAGCCTGACTTGCATCGCCACCTTAATGTGTGATGATCATCATGGCAGCTGATTTTGCAGAGGGAGACACATACCCAGAATATATATATATATATATATATATTTTTTTTTTTTAAAGTACAAATCTAGTTTTGATTAACACAAATGCCTCAATGCAGTCTAAACATCAATCTTCCGGAGGTGGACACACTTCTGTGTGTTGTTTTTCCATCCTACACTGCTTTAGCTTGTTAGCTCATTTCCTGACTGATAACTAGAACAATTAGTCCTGCTTAATCTCAGTCTTCCCATAATGCCACAGAACCATACGTGAACAGATGTATTTCAGCCTTACCACATCAAGTCTAGTTCACTTCAAGACAAAATGGTTAAGAAATCTATTGCTAACCTCATTTTGAGTCAATATATATATATAATATAGAAGGGTCAGAATTTGGCTTTAACAACATGAGTATGGATCCATCCTGCCTTGTATCAGCGGTTCAGGCTGCTGGTGGTGTAAATGGTGTAGAGGATATTTTCTTGGCACACTTTCGGCCTTTAGTACCAATTGAGCATGGTTTAAACGCCACAGCACACCTGAGTCCTGTTGCTGACCACGTCCATCCCTTTACGACCACAGTGAACCATCTTCTGATGGCTTCTTCCAGCAGGATAATGCAGGTCACAAAGCTCAAATCATCTCAAACTGGTTTCTTGAACATGGCGATGAGTTCACTAAACTCAAACGGCCTCCAGATCTCAATCCAGTCGAGCAGCTTTAGGATTTGCTGGAACTGGAGATTCACATCATGGATGAGCAGCCGACAAATCTGCAGCAAGTGTGTGATGCTATCATGACAATATGGACCAAAGTCTCTGAGGAATGATTCCAGCGCATTGTTGAATCTGTGCCATGAAGACTTAAGGCCGTTCTGAAGGCAAAAGGGGGGCCAATCTGGTCCTCAATTTTAGGTGTAGATGCTGTAAGTGATGATAGCTTGTGAATCTATACACTACAGTATAATACAAGAGTGTTTTCTGCAGGGCCTTATCAAACACTTCATGCAGCCTAGTTCTAATAATAGCAATGAAGACCAACATAAGACAGGTCTGCTATTTTACTGAGAGGCTTGTGCTGATCAATACTGCAGGACTGTAGAATAGCCAAAAGAATTCAGTTTGGGAATGCAATGAAAATCAACTTAATTTAAAGTACTATGCAAATTTTAGAATTATATTAGTCAGTAGCCATGAAATTGCTATTAAAGAAAAATCCCCCAAAAAACAGTCCCTTTTATTTCAGCTTCCAAATCTCTAAACAAATGAAAACAAGTAAGGCCTAAACAAACAGTAAATGCATAATAAATTCAGATGCACAAACATTACAGTGGAAAAGTATATTATTTTGAACCAATAACACATTTACAGTAGATTCATAAATGAACTAAAACTACTACACTTAATGTGAAGCTCAAAACACCAAACGCCTGGACAAGTACAGTACGGTAAAGTACAGTAAAACCAGAAAAACAATTCACAAACACAACAACAGTGCACATAGCCTGGTCAAATGCTGTCTCTGCAGCGGTGTGTAACTCTCTCTTTGGTATCGCTGTATCTTTAGATTCTTCTTACAGTACAAGAAAACGAATCTTTCAACTTCAACTCACTGCTCAGGTTGAGCCGCTTTTCTATTTTTTGCACAAACATCTACATTTTTAGTGTCCTCTATGGATTTCTATCCAAGTTATGACAATATGTCATACACTTGCATTAAACATTGAATGACACTGAAGTGCCATTTATAGAATACAAATGGAAAAAGTTCAGTAAGAAAACATTATAAATACAAAAACGGGTCCCTGTTGAAATCCTGGAGGTCATGGGATCATCCAATTTTCTTATGTAAACAGAAGGCAATGTTTTTGACGTGATAATGGATGAATTTTGCATTGCAACCAGGTGACAAATCACCAGAATGCTTCAAAACAAGCTTATTTAAAACATGTTGCGCTCTGAGATTTGTAAGTGGATTGTCCTTTTGCCCGGTGATGCCCTTTAATGACAGGGGTCAAAGGGGTATTTGGTGACCCCACCATGCAGCTCCACCACTGACTCTGACCAGGCGATGATGTCACCGGTCATATGACCACCGCATGAAGCCAGGCTGTAGACGTCATGTGGCGTGAGGACATGAGACCACATCTGCACGTCTGAGATCTCTCCAACAAACGCCTGCGTCGCATCGAAACGACCACCCAGTGTGTCCTGGGAAAACATGGATGGAAGATTTGGTGATATTATATTAGCAACACTAAACAGATGCTTCATCTTACTTCGACTTATTAGCTCTTTATTTGTGAAGTCAACTTCATGAATACAACTTCATTGGCTTATTCATTAGCGTGAAGTCTAATATATGACTTTCCTTGTGAAAAAGAAGTTCACTTTAGCATACTTTTAAAATGAGTAATAATACACTTTACAGAGTATACTTGAGTATGAACTGAATGTAATGTTTTCGGACACTTAACCGCATTTTAATAGCAACTTAATGAAAATGTATTATGCAAATTTATATGAAATGCAATTAGCTTAACTTTAGAGTGCATTTTTGACCCACTTAAGTAGGACTTAAGTACATCTTTATATGTAATTTCATAATTGCTTCTAATATATGGTTAAAGTGTACTGCTGAATGTACCGACAAGCATTTACGTAAACTAAAATATATTTTAATGAAACTGTTGTATATATATATATATATGTACTTACTATAATACATGTACTTACTATAGTAATAACAGAAAAATAAGCATACATAATAGCAACGGATACACTTTATTTTGAGGTGTTATTGTTATAGTGTAATTATAAATTTAAGTACTGAGTAATAATAATTAACTACATGATAACTACATAACTACATAATTTACTGTTAATGCGGTAAGTACATGTAACACATGTAACAAAGACACTGTAAAATAAAGTGTAACCAAAGCAATACACCAAACCCTAAGCCAGAGTATGAGGTAAGTACATGTAGTTAATTAATATTATTCAGTACTTAAATGTAGGTACTATTATTAATAAATAATTACACTGTAACAACGACACTGTAAAATGAAGTGTAACTAAACTATTTATTTGACTATTACAAAGTGCACTTTTTAGTGTGCTAAGAAGCCTAGTCCTGAAAGTGTACTCTCTGTAAGTGTACTTAAGTGGCCTTTTATTTAATTCATATTATATTATCTGCAAGTTCAAGTTTTTAAAAATATACTAAGATTTGAAGTGCGCTTTCAATACAATTAAGTGCACTTTTTCCTCACAGGAGTTTAGTTAAGTATCAATTACTTTGCCACAATGCTATAGTGTTGTGGATGGTTGCCAGGGTGTTGCTATGCAGTTGCTAATGTGTTCCTGGTGTTTGTCTATGGCACAAGTCAAAGGAGAAATATAAGTTTAGCTGATTGTATGTTGTGCTTGTCTCGTGTTACCTGTTCCTGGCCCAGTATGAACACCCCGCCAGGTTTGATGGGATGCCAGGGGGAGAGGTTTTCTCCGGACCCTCTCTTCACTCCATCCTGAAAGGCCTCCCACAGGCCGTCTCGTGTTGACCAAGTCACACACACATGGTGCCATTTACCATCACTCAGCGAGAGGGGTAAAGGAACAGCCTGTGAACCCGAGGCAAGATAATGTCCTCTATTAAACACAGAATTCTCTTAATAAACACTTTATTTTCTGTTGTGCTCCTCTATTTCACCCTTTGCAATTCGGAGGCCCGTTTCAAAAAGACAATGTTCTAAGTCTAAAATGAAAATCACCTAACATTAACTTCTTGTTTATTGAACTGTTATGAAATCAATGGACTATCACATTTGCAATCGTGCTGATATTCGGGAAAACAGCACTCTATATCATGCCATAAATATTAAAAACAAGAACTCTTGAATTTTGGGGGAATTTTTATTCATTTTGGTGGCCTTTTTGCCCCAAGCCCCTGTTATATGTAATGATATGACGCAGCGCCTGAAAATAGTTCCGTTGTGTTGACGGAAGGTGGCCTATTTTCAGGCGCTGCATCATATCATTACGCCTGCTGCACTCATGGTACGGCAGTAACGTTTCTTGATTATTACGCAGGAATGAGAGTATAGTTCCTAGCCATGTCAGCCTAGAAAATCGCAACTTTACATTTTCCGTCGGTCTTAGTGCACGATGTAACTACAGAAGAGTCAAGTTTTAAATAGGAAAAATATCGAAACTCTTTGGTCATTTTTTTTTTAGAAATGCTAATGGTCTTGTCCACTTCAATGATGTATGCTAAGCTATGCTAAAAGTGGTACCGCCAGAACCGGAGATCGGCTGAATGGATTCAAAAACGGTAAAACTCAACAGTTTAACTCTGGGCGAGTTGTAAAATGAGCCTATTTCCAAAAAAAGTGGAGTATCCCTTTAACTGAGCCGTCTAACTGGACAGTTAATGGACATCACAGGAGAGCTGAAGGAATTTTAAAACCCCAAAATATTTTCTTTAAATTTGTTTGGTCATCACACTAGTCATATATGCAACTATATTCACATCCCAATGCAGCTAAACACGGATGTCACTTGACAACTGAATTAACACTGACAAAACTAGTTGTTAAATCGATAGTTCACCCAATAATGAAAATCATTTACTCGCCCTCAAGTTGTTCCAAACCTGTATGAATTTCTTTCCTCTGCTGAACACAAAAGAAGATATATTGAAGAATATGGGTAACCAAACAGTTGATGGACACCACTGACTTTCATATTACAGAGAAAAAAAAAACACTATGAAAGTCAGTGGTGTCCATCAACTGTTTGGTTTACCCATATATTTTCTTTTGTGTTCACAACTTGATGGCGAGTGACACAATTTTCATTCTTGGGTAAACCATCCCTTTAACTCACTGTTGCAAGATGATCATACTTTTTTTGGTCACTAAAACTTTATTTTGAATAAACACAGCTTCACCAAACAGGTTGAACTTTCAGTATCCATGTTTCTTGTTTAAAGCAGTGAGCTCACAATTTTTATATGGTTATTATTCTCAAATCTTATGAACGTGGCCTGTGGTGTCTATAAAGTAACATTTTTGTTTTATGTTATACTACGTCCAAAAGTTTGGGGTAAGTATGCGTTTTTAATGAAAGAAATTTAGCTTCAATTTAGATTTTGTTCAAAGATGTCAGTAAAGACATTTATAATGTTAAAAAACAATATTTCTATTTCTAATAAATGCTGTTCATTTGAACTTTCTGTTCATCAAAGAATTCTGAAAAATAAATTCCGAATTCTGAAAAATAAATTCCGAATTCTGAAAAATAAATTCCGAATTCTGAAAAATAAATTCTGTTTTTCACAAAAAAAAAAAAAAAAATGTTTTTAACTGATAAAAATCTGAAATTTTTCTTAAGCAGCAAATCATCATATTAGAGTGATTTCTGAAGGATCATGTGACACTGAAGACTGAAGTGATGATGCTGAAAATTCAGCTTTGACATCACAGGAATAAATTACATTTGACAATATATTCAAATAGAAAACAGCTATTTTAATAGTAATTACATATCACAATAATACTGTTTTTACTGTATTTTTGATCAAATAAATGCAGCATTGGTGAGTGTTATGTGAATTGTGTGCACATTCCTTCAGATCTCCTTCATCTCATTCTTGTCTCTCTCTCTTTCACTCACCCTGTCATCGACGAGCAGCTCCATCGGGTTGTTTCCCCACTCAATGAGCACCAGCTCGTTGGCCTGGCCTGGAACAGAGTAGGAGAAGGGCGTTCCGAGTCCAGGCCCGATTCCAGCCTTCATCCACAAACACAGTGTGAAGGAGAAGATCTCGTGCAGCAGAGTGCGCTTCACACGACCGTACATGTAGTTGGTCCGCATGGGGAAGCCGACCTGGAAAGCTTCAGTGGATTTGCTGTTCTTTCTAGAACCTGTGGAATTGATAATCAGTGTCAGAGGCAGAGTGTGATTGATTTGTCTTCTGGTCAGAGGGGATGCATTTTCAATTTCCGACAATAGATGCTAAACTGCTTGTAATTGGATTAATACTGTTTTAACTGACATTGGTTGCAACCGAAAACTGAAAAATGCTGCCTTGGATTCCAAGGTAGGAAGGCATCAAGACACGTCCGAATCCAAAGTGATACTTTCATCTGATCGATTTTTGAAGGCAGCATAGATGTATCCTTCACTGCCATTTAATATCCCACAATCCTGTGCTTTCCATTCTGTGACAGATGTGCTAAAAAATAAAGATGGCGTCTGAAAGTTGCGGTTGGTGGTCTGTTAGTGTGTAAATGTGTGTTTTTGCACTTTTGATGTAATTTCTAGTGAGAAACTACTGTTGTAGTAATTAAATATATTAACTTAGTTATCACCCAAGCTTTCTCTATTTTGCTGTAGATCATTAAACCGTTAAGCTGCCTGAGAAGTCTGTCTGAAATCAGTTTCGTGAGGTACCTTCAGCTTTCGGACTCATAAACCATAGTCAGTGCAATGCAGTCGCTGAGACCAAAACAGATTTTAATTTTATCTTGTTTTACAGATTTTATTTTCAACTTTGCAAGCAGCCTAGTAAAACATGCGCGACACTACAACTTAAAAGATTGGAATTTCAGTTTATCCAGAAGGATCTTATTTGAATCTTGTAGGCTAATCTCTTGTAATCACGTTTGTATCATTGGTTTGACAAAGTAGTCTTACTTTTCAGATTCAAATTATCTTAAGATAACTTTTTATGTAGCTAATTTTAAAAAGTTACAACCAGTCTTGAAGAAAAAAGTAGGTGACAACTTTTAGGGCTGGATATATTTGTCTGGATATATTTCAATATCTAAATGTGTTTGACATTTTATCTTATTACCTCATGGGGCCTGCAAACTGTATAAATACATTTATAGTCAATAATTGAATTGCAATTTAAAAAATGCAATTTAGTTAATTCATTTTGAGCAACTACTTTTTGGTATTTGTAACGTTCATTTTAAATGAATTACACTACTTCTGCATTGTCTAAATATCTACATAAAAATTTCAATAATGACATTCAAATATTCCCCCTCTGATTTTTTTACGCACCCCGATTTGCGGTGGTCTACCAATCCTAATCATCTTTATCAAGGTGGTTTTTCAGGTCCATCATCCAGCTGATGAACAATCTAGAACAGCTAAGAACCAAAACTGGCCAAGCTTAAGTTGTATTTAGCTGTATTCTCCAGCGGAGTCATCTAAATGCTAACTAGCGTTGTTTTACCGCGCTCTTACCAGTGTCAGTAAGCCTGTGCTGCAGATGACTCAGAACTGCGTCCAGTTTGCTGTGCACTCCAACCTGTGCTTCTCTGTGACCTTGCACGTTATAAGACAACCTCTCGAAGCCGTGTTCAGAAACCTCATTGTCATGGTGACTGTTGTCTTGGTGTCCATTGTCATGGCCGTTGTCATCATGGTGACCGTTGTCATGATGATCATCATCATGGTGATCACTGTGCTGGCTCTCATCGTGAGGATCATCGTGGTCGTCGTGGCTGTCCTCATGATGGCTGTGGTCGTGATCGTCGACGTGGTGACCGCCATCATCGTCACCCTCGTGGTCACTGTGACTGACACTGATTAGTGATGAAGAATGGTGTTGCATCTGTTGTTCTAGAGCGTTGATCTTCCTCTGCAGGAGATCTTTCAGTGAACTCGAGTAGCTGGTGGAAGTGTTTCTTGTCTGTAAATACAATATATTATTATATATTAATATTTATTGTTTAAATTGACAGGATGACTTTCATTACCCTAATGAAACACGCTCCCACAGCAATGTTTAAAAGCAAGACAAACAGTGTCCCATCAGTTTTATTTCACTTTGACAGGCAGTTCAAAAATGGTCACACATTGGTTGTTTGCTGTCATTTTTGACTGGGAACAGTAAGAGTGTTTTGCTGTTTAATTTAAGAGTGCAACATTCTTGAATGAAACATTTATTAGATGCACGCTGGTCTGTTATCGTAGGGACATCAACTTTACATTTTCACGCCCGTAAACATGACAAGGAACAAAACGAACTGTGATTGGTTGCGTTACATGTCAAACATCCTCTTGGGCGGTTCTTGGCCAATGAAAGCTGAGATGGAGCTTTCTGCCGTCAGTCTGAAGTTTGGGCTATGCGAGACTATTGAAGGTGTAGCATTTTCTTTTTTAATGAAATAGTACGCTAATATAAAGTAATAACAATAAAGTTACATACTTCTTTAGAGATGTAGGTTATTTGGATCTTATTTACATGTACATTTCTTAATTTTACCATCAAAATCATGTAATGATAATACAAGAAACAAGAAACAGGTGGGGACTAATCAATCAACTAATGAGTAACCATGACAACAAGTGGAATGCGGGAACATAGAGAACAAAGAAAACCAGAAAATGCAAACATAAACCTAATAGTCTGAAGTGTCAAAAATCTTGATTTTATGTTTAAAAGTTATACATTTGTATACTTATTCAGACATTAGTTTAGGACATCATCGGAGGAAATCATCTTGGGAAAACCTCGCTGAGCGAGGATCCTCATCCACGCCGGAGCAAATGAGCAATGACACTATTTTCTCTAAAAAGACAATAGTGTCATGGTTCAGCTGAGGTCAGTTCAGTTAATTTATAAGATCCTCAAAGAACTTTTTATTTTCTAGTTCTTCTAAAAAATCCCCATACTGAAGCTTCAAAGAACCCCAGAAACCCATAGACTGATCTGAAGAACCTGTAATGTAACATCAAGAGCTTTTATAAACTCCAAAGGTTTCAAGGCTGCTCCATTTCTCAAGCATTCAACAGCCCTGTAATATAAATATTAATAATTCATTATATATTCATAATTAATGTACAAAAAATATTATCGATTTGACTGCTGTAGAGCTGCTTTATAGCTGAATTTAATGTTTTATAACTGATACCCTTTCCAAAATCTACACTAAGATAAAACATTAAACTAAATTGAGGTGAATAATGACACTTCAGTCTGCTCTTCTGTAGAGTAGCTTTACAGCTGAAATTGAATTTGTTTCATAATTGATATGCTATTTTGCTGTTTATTACTGTGAGGCTGCTTTGAAACAATCTGTATTGATAAAGTGCTGTACAAATAAATGTGACTTGACTCTATACCTGCAGGTTCTCTAGCCGCTCCTTTAGGGACTGAAGCATCCGGCTCATCTGCTCCGGCGTAGACGAGGGTGAAGGAATCTCCCCCGTGACTTGCTTCTCGCTCAGCGAGGCTTTCCCGCGATGATGTCCCCCGGCCCCGTCGCCATAGTGACCAAGCTCCATTCCATGACTGCCGTGGTTCCCATCGGGCGGCGCCCACCCAAGGTGTGCTGTGTCGGGTGCTGTCGGGTAGGCGTGGTGGGCGTGGTGAGCCAGGTGTGTAGGTTTGCGGTGCGGGTGGTCGTCATGGCTGCCCGTGCCGCGGTTGAAACCCTCACACAGGTTCAGTTTGGCGGTGAGCTCTCGGATAGTCTCCCTCTGGTCCAGGATGGTTTCTTTCTGCTGCACCAAACTTTCCCGCAGGTGCAGGATTGTCGCTTTTGCCTCCTCGGACATTCCCCACCAGCTGTTGCTGTTCCCGGTAGGTCCGCTGTGGGGTCCGGGACTGGGGCCACCTGGGCCGCCCGTCGTTGGGAAACACCCGGGATCGGCGTCAGCGGGAATGGGGGTGCAAATGAAACGAGGATGAGGGTTGTAGTCGGAACCTGGCATTCCAGTCCCAGCGCATACGGAAAGACAGATGGCATAGAAGAAGAAGAACAGGGAAATAGCATGGTTCATCCCCATCCCGAGTCCTACTGTGGACCTTATAGGATGCATATTTGTTGAATGAAATGTTTGAGAATGCGGGATAGCAACCAAATCTTGTTGTTTTGCACAGCAGTACAATGAAAATAAAGTCTTTATCCTGAACAGGATTGCACTTGTATCTGCCCTCGTCTTCTAAATCCTGTAAAACTGTCTCTTGCTGCTTACTGTGCCTCCTTCAAGCCTCCTCCTCCTCTCCAAGGTCATCAGCCGTTCAGAGGCCACGTGTATTTACTAGTAATACGTCCGATGATCCTTCTCTTGTCTCTTCAGAGCAGCCATCTAAAGCTTGGGAAAAGAAAACAAAGAAAATCTCTTGTCATTCCTGATGAAGTTTTCGGAAGACAGGATCTTTTTTCTTTAAACCTTGAAATCTAAACTCCCCTTTTATGTTCGACGGAACTGATTAGTACATTATCAAAAACACTACAATACTTTAAATGCGCTTTAGTATGTTAGTCAACACATCAAAACAAGTGTACTTTAAAGCATGACAGAAAATTCAAATATTAGAAAAACTTTAATTTGTTAAAGTAAAATTGTACTTAAGTGTGTTAAAGGAGAACTCCGGCGCAAAATCAAGCTCGGGTGTAATAACACATTGGTACAGACTAAATCGTTCCCTGAGATTTGTTTTCATGATAATCGAATGTAAATAGTTTTATCTCTAAAAACAGTTTAGCGTATAACGCTAGTATATTGGGCATAGAGTAAGCAAAAAGAGATCGCTAGTTTATACCACTAACAAGGCTCAAATTAGCCCCACACTAACACGGCAGCATAATGAGTGTCCTTACATGCAAACCGAAGCATTGAGAACTTTGTAAGTGTATAGACAGTTTAATAAGAAGATACTTTACACAGACAGTACAGTTAGCGCATACAGACAGGAGCCATCTTGGAAAACAGTCTCGATCAGTCAAACCACGAACACGGTGATACGTGAGCTGAACTGTGACTTGGAATCTCATATGGTCCGTTGTTTCCGGAAGAAAGCACTGAGCACATAAGAGAAGCACTTAACGCAACAGAGAAAAAAAAATATATATATATATAATTGATCTTATCTTCAATATCTACACGTACTGTTCGCTCACCCTCGTGGTTCGATTGGTCGAGACTGTTTTCCAAGATGGCTCCTGTCTGTATGCGCTAACTGTACTGTCTGTGTAAAGTATCTTCTTATTAAACTGTCTGTACACTTACAAAGTTCTCAATGCTTCGGTTTGCATGTAAGGACACTCATTATGCTGCCGTGTTAGTGTGGGGCTAATTTGAGCCTTGTTAATGGTATTAACTAGCGATCTCTTTTTGCTTACTCTATGCCCAATATACTAGCGTTATACGCTAAACTGTTTTTAGAGATAAAACTCTTTACATTCGATTATAATGAAAACAAATCTCAGAGAACGATTTAGTCTGTACCAATGTGTTATTACACCCGAGGTTCATTTTGCACCGGAGTTCTCCTTTAAGAAACATGAAAGTGTACTCTCTTTAATCACACTTAAGTTGCCTTTTATTTCATTACTATCATCTTATATCTGCAAGTACAGTTTTTTTTTTAAATATACTTTTAAGATTTGAAGGACACTACAAGAGCAATACAATTTAATACAATTAAGGGTTTTAATACAATTACGGGTTAGTATGACCCTTATGACCAATGACATAACTGCAATTTACTGTTTTGTTAACCACAAGGCTCAGTATATGCATCATACCGTCCAGCCCGACTGCTATTTTCTTCATAAAAATAAAGGCACCAGCTCTAACTGATGGGGTTTGACAGCCTGATGCCACAAGACATCCATTATAAGATCCTCAAAGAACTTTTTATTCTCTAGTTCTTCTAAAAATCCCCATACTGAAGCTTCAAAGAACCCCAGAAACTTATAGACTGATTAGAAGAACCTGTAATGTAAAATCAAGAGCTTTTATGATCACCAAAGAAGGTTTCAAGGTTGCTCCATTTGAGTGCTGCAAATAACCACTGAAGAACGTTTCGTTTGGGATGTTAGGAATGATTAGTTTAAGTTGTTTGAAGCTACTGAAACATTTCCGCCCGCACAAGTGGATGTGTGTACGTCAGAATCCCTCCTAATGAAGATAACTCAAGAAAAGAGTCGTCTACAGAGGATTAGCATGTGATCGTGTCTGTTTGAGAGAGTCTACGCATACTGTCTCTTCTACTGAACTTTGCCATTAATTGGATTAATTAAGTGCTTGGTATGATCGCTGGCAGGAAGGAGGCTGGACTGAGTTTCATGTCCAGAACTTAAAGAAGAACACAGCTTGAGCTTCACTAATGAATTTATCGCAATATTCAGTGCACGCAATTTAAAATCACAATTTAAAATCAAACTGAGAGAGCCTTTTTTTTTTTATCCAGCTGGATCACTTCCATAATGACCAACGGAATCCACCAAGAGCAGTTAAAATTAGCGTCTGGTTTAAGACATGCTTTTCTTGGGCTGTAAATAATGGCGCAAATACCAGTAAATTGACTAGCGCAAACCTTAGTAAATCACCTTGCGTGTTTCAAAAATACTCTCCTTCCATAAAGTTTGCGTCTGAAATGGAAACTCCTACAAATGCATGTGCAATAATGTCAGCCGCACACATAACCCTGTCCAGCCTTTTCAGAGCTAATTTTTCACAGCGTGTCTTTAGTAAATCCTGTCAGTAGTTTTTTAACGCCAAAAAAGGGTTTGCGTTAGCCTGGATGCCAGCCCGAACCCCGCCCACAACATTTTTTGGTCGGCAAGTTCGGTCTGGACTTGATCCATATTATGATCGGTTCAGAATTAGTCGAGCCAATCAAATTGCCAGGGCGGGCTTTATACGATGATGGACAGATGATCTGCAGATACGTAATCATCATGTTATCAAAGAGCGCTTGGGTTGAACTGGTTTCCCTCAGAGATGACTGCAGCTGGAGAATTGAGATGTAGAGATTCAGCCATCGCGTCTGTTGTAAAATAAATCGACTGCGCATTCATTTTAAAAGACGAACAGAGAATTTGTCGATCGGAAAGATGTGTTTGCCGTCCTTCCTACGGGATTCGGCAAAAGTTTATTTTATCAGCCGGCTCCGATGGTCGCTAAGAAGATGGGACGCAATGAAAACCCTGTGGTCGTTGTGGTTTCTCCTTTGGTCGCACTCATGGAGGACCAAGTAAAAGAAGCAACACTCATTATTTTACTACTTCTTCCAGCGTGCGTGCAGTTGAGTTCTGTTCGGTTCTGTTGACAACTTTGCGTAGCTCATTAAAAAAAAAACACTTACTGCGTTGCTCTGATTGGTTGTAGGTCTATCCAATTGAGTGCAGAGGTTTTTTTTTCCTGGTTCGGTTAAGACACGCCTCATAATCAAAGCCCTATGGAGCAGTATCAGACTCACATTCTGACTAGAATATGACTTGTGAGTATGACGAAGTCAGTCTAGGTTTGCGCTAGAGCAAGCTGAGTAAATCTGGCCCTAAAAATGTTATCATATACAAAACATATGGGAAATTCTAGAAACATTACATTATATTAATAATCAATGTTTTAAGCTGTTGTATTTAATTTATATTATAATTAGTCTTGCAATTCTTTGAATTGCAATTGAGTAAATTCCTCTTACTGTCATTGCGATTCCTAATCCAATTCAATGTTGTCGAGTGTGGGCAATTCAAATCAAATCAATTCTTGAAAATTAAAAGGGAACCAATTCTTCAGTTCTGAATTTTGAACCCTAAATGACATATATATTCTGTACTGGACTGACTGATCTTGGACTGTCCATCCCCACTGTCAGTGCATTTTGTCCATCATGACATTTTCACTGCTAACCAGGATGCACATCTTTCCAGTTATCAGACAACTCGCTTAAAGCTTTTGTGGATTTAGCCTGTGGTTTGACTAGCAGCAGTGGTTTTTCCTGAGGGTGGAGTCTGTCGGGTCAGTATGGCTATGTTTGTTGCTTAATGTGCCAATGGGTTTGTGTTGGATTCTGCTATCAGACAGACAACCTTGATGAAACCAGAAAGAAACCAAAGTGCCTTTGACCTCAAAACTAAACAACATAAATAATAACAGTTCATACGACTTTACCCACCCATTTACATTTAAGATATCTTACTAATTAAATGACATTGAGTTTTAGACCCCTCTCACACAGGTCGTGTGCTTGCGTGAACATGTGTGTGCGGTAAGATCATGCGTGTCACGAGCTTAGAAAGCAAGACAGATGGCAGCAGTTGAGAACAGCGTGAAGCCGTTGCAGTCTCTCTCAATCCTCACTTCATCTCGGTTTATCTTCCAGTCTAAATCCACTTGATTAGCCTGATTGTCAGGTTCGAATGAAGGCAGAACTTTAAGTCAGAGACACTCAAATCAAATTGAATGCGCCGTCTGCTGAATCCATGAAATAGTATTAAACAACCACCTCTAGTGTAGTAAAGAACCATCTGGATCTTCATCCGGAACAACTGGCTGAGCAAAACAGTGACTGTTTTAGTCATTTAGTAACATTATAAAATGCAATTTTTACTGCGAAATATGTAATCTTTCATTCAAATATCACTGAAGTATTGCTCAGATATTTTAAAGCATATACAATGATACATTCAAAATTATAGCAAAAAGAAAATCATCCCTTTGAAAAATCAGTAAGCTTAAAAAGCTTAAAAAGAGCACTTTAATATACTTTAAAACAATATTAAGTATCCGGAAAAATTGTTTGCACTTTATTACATGTTAATTACAATAAGATGAAAATATATGGTTCACTTTATTTTAATGTGTCTTTGTTTCAGTTTTAAGTACTGAGTGGTTCGCTTTAAAAATTAAATACACTTAAGTGCCGTTTTATTTCATTCATATTGTTTTATCTGCAGTTTTTTAAGTACATTTAAAAAAAAAAAAAACATACTTTTAAGATTTGAAGTAGGCCTACACTACAAGTGCACATTCAGTACAATTAAGCGCACTTC